ATAAGGAACTCACAGCAGTCAGGCAGCAATCGAGGAGTATGGTTTATTAGGATAGAAAGCGACAGAAAGCGGCGCGAAACATTTTTCGCTGTAGGGACCTCAAGTCCACAGCTGATCGTGAGTGGACCTGGAGTTTCCGCAGCGAAAAATGTTTCGCGCCGCTTTCTGTCGCTTTCTGTCCTAATGAACCATACTCCTCGATTGCTGCCTGACTGCTGTGAGTTCCTGATTTAGTATAGCTGCAGTTTGAAGTAAGCAAGAAAATTAATTTCGTTTTAAATGCGCACCTTTTTGGAATGAAGCCTGAAAGTTCAAATCAGGTTGAATTTGGTTAATATGCATCGAAACAGTTGGTTTCGTTCCGTTTCTTGTCAAGCTATTATTCTTGTTGGCCTAAATACCTATGTCAGATATTTTTATGGTTCACTATCTCCCTTCGCAGTGCATGGCGAATATCTCACATTGGCGCTCATGTGATGGGGAAGTTTGAAACAACAACAAGCATATTTTTTATTTTATTGTAAGTATTTATGGGAATATATTCCTATCCTCACTGGAAAAATTCGAATCTCGATGAGTGGCTCTGATCGTGTGCGCTCTCCCGGCGAAGGAGAGGTATTTTGGAGAGTTCTTGCTAACTGCTCCAGCGCAAAAATGTCCTTTTGCATTCGAACGTGCTTTAGTTCCTCTAAACTGCTTTCAGCTTCTTTCCTACACCATTTTTAATCTCATTGTATTTTATTAGACTGTACTTATTGAGCCTTTTTTATATTTTGCTTTTTGCGAAAGAGCTATTGTGAGCAAAGTGATGAGAAAAAGAGAAGAAGCACTAGGGTGGCATAAAAAATTTCTCATCCATCTGCTTACAAAAATGTTTGTCCACCCACCCCGAAATCCTGCCAATTGGTTTTACGATCGTGAACTACAGAGCTCTTTCAGTTCAAGTCTCGCTCAATCATATAGGAGGCGGGACGGGAGGGCAATCAGTGCGACGTTGCTACCGACTACATAAATTCCAATTTTTGCAAGAGTAGGAACTCTTGGGAGTACATGAACCTTTTTCTCTTCAGCTTTTTACACACATTCCTTTCGTCTTTTACCTGCTAGAATTATACTACTTCATGGGATAAACTGTATATCACATGCTTTTACCCACTGTATGAGACACTTCTTCCCTTGTTTGGGCTGGGAACGGATAGGGCGCATTCATAGTCAGTCGTCCGATCGTAACTATCGTAAAGATCGCACAGCATTGGATGCGTATCGATCGTTTGACGTGTTTGAGGATTAGACGATTGATACTTATATAACGCTGGGCGATCGTTACGATCGTTACGATCGGACGACCGACTATGAATGCGCCAATCGAGCGCCAAATCGCCACATGGAGGTGAGAATTACTTCTAAACAAATGTGATAAAATATTGGGTTGATGCATAATTATTGCGGATTTTTTCAACAAATTTTATTCAGCGAAAACGAAAAAATTATTTAACAAAAACATGTTTAAATGATTACCCCGGAGCGTAGTCACCATCTTCAAGAATGCTTCCCATTTGCTTGGCAGTCGGTCGATTCCACGGGTGAAGAAGTCACGATTCTTGGAGACGATCCACGCTCTAACATCGGCCACCAAGTCATCCAGCTCGTCGTAAATTTTGTTCGTTTGCCAGTTTTTCAACGACTGATTGAAGTGGTAGTCTGTAGGAGCTTCGGTCGGTAAATATGGCGTTTTGAACCTCTTGAACCATCTTTCAACTTGGCTTTTGCTGATTGTTCCCTCGCCGAAAAGTCGTTGAGATCGCGAAATGACTCTGCCGCCTTCCAACCTTTCTCGAAGTGGTAGAGCATATGTGGCGAATATGAGAATATTAAGAATATTTCGACATTATAGAAATAGAGAAGCATATTTCCATGACTATTTCCTGTTATTAAATATTAGAGATGAAGAATTTTTCATTCATGATAAAAAGAAGTCTGTCAAGATATTTCTGCAATAATTAATCATTCTAACTTATATTACTGTTGGCATTGCTTTCTATAATTCCTGGTGAACCGTTGCGAAAATTTTCTTCTTTCTTATTCTATATAAATTCACTGCTGTTTCTGGCTTATAACTGCTAGCATGTTCGATTCGTCAATGTTTAATTCATATTTCTTTTGATTCAATACATAATTTCTTTTGCTGTTGTTTTTGCATTCTTGAATAGTTTCACATTTAGGCGTTCTCTGTAAGGGTCGTTCATATAATGCCGGTAAACGCAATTAAATAAAGGATGAGATGTTGCTTCGATAAATCATACACAAAAACTGCGCTCAAGAAGACACTGCCTGCGCACGGCACACTTTCATCCCACTCATTTTGCTAGAAGCGGGACTAAGCCTTAGGCGAGGGAGCAGTTCCAGTAGGCGAAAGCAATTCTCATTTCCCCGGGTGCCTGAACCCTTCAAGGCTTATTTTAGGCTTTAGTTTCTACAGGTTGTTAGTGGGGGGTTGGGGCGAGATGCCGCTGGATCCTGCGATAGCGCCCAAAACTCATATTGTTAGGCTTGAAGGATTGAAAATTGCGCTTTTATACCGCTTGGTGTTTATTTCCAGTTATATTTCGTCTGATTGCAGCACTATCGGAATGAGATTTTCTGTGCCAAACTTACCAGAATTCTGATCGCACGTCAGATCTGGTTGTCGTAAAACGTACTTTCTTCTAGGTGAAATTATTTGGGAGCGTGATTTTGGTCAACCAATCGTGGCAATGTATTTGCTACAAGATGATGGACTTCATAAGCTACATTTCACCGTGATGGGAGGAGAGACGATGGAGAATATCATCAAGGTACTGTTGAATAGCTTTTACTGTTGCACACTTGTCTATCATGTTAAACTTCCCACTGTGATGAGGTATAACCGAAACTTCATTGAACGTGTGAGATATGTATAATAGTTAAGCTGCGGGTTTTGATTTCTTCAGATCCGCCTTCATGGTTCCGTTGATGATTGGGCAGGTGTGTTCTGTTCAGACACTTGACCGTTTCGACCCGTTTTCCCCTTCTTCTTACTCTTCTTTTTGGAACTCCTGAAAGTGAACGGAAATGCCCTGCAAAATTACAAAAAACAATTGAATCTCTATTCTACGCTATTCCTAATAACTTCCAGCCTTGCCGCTTGACACTTGGGTCTCGATGGAACGTTTTCCTTGATAGAATCTTCTATAGAACGAAATACACCTATTTTTCCGAAGGAGCATGCATGTGTCGGCACGGGTCGGGGGTGTGAAAATGTATCTCTCACTGACTTTCTAGGTAGGAATGGTTCGTCATAGTAAGGCTCTTCTTTATGTACCTCGTCAACCTCCGGTTCCTCTTCTTCACTATTAGAGACACTGAAAAGATTGCATTTTGATCACTGCTTAATTGTAAATAGTGAATATCTACTTACCTGTAGTCATATCCCCTCCGAACTAAATATCCATGCACAGGACACAGTGCCTTCATCACCCGAATGTTCCCTTCGGAGTCATATTTACAGAGGCATGGGAGTTCTTCGCCGGGAGCAAGGTACCGGCAACTTGCGGCGGTCCCAGATGTTTCTTCAGATGATGATGTTGATGGTGTTTCATCATCTGTTTGTTCCTGGAATGGCTCTTTTACAATAGAGGCGCCATCAATTCCTATAGAAAAGAACATACTTGGATGGGTGATGGCAGAATCCTCTATCAAGATTGATTGCTTCGATCGTGAGGAATGATTAGACTGAAGGGATCGAATGTCTTGTATTGACAACCTGGCATTCATGCTGGCCTTTTGAATAGTGTGCTCAGAAGCACGAGATGGTTTCCTTATCGCCAGTTGTGATAGTGTTGACGATGCACTACAATCAAGTAGAACAATCAAATAGATATTGGACATTACGGCTTGATTGGCTCAAAGTGGGATTGCTTAGCACAGAAAGGGAACTTGTAGGGAAAAATCAATCAAAAGTACCGAACTGTTCAATGGGGGCTCTTAAAAGGAAACGAATCTAAGTCGCCATGACCATCAAGAAGAGATGAATACGCCTAGATGGCTTTTGAAGCTAGTCTCAAATCTACCTTCTATATCTGCTAAACCATTTCTGAACTAGGTTTTGAAGCAAAAGGAGACAGCGGTAGTGGTCGGGACCCAGAATCAAAACATTGCGGGATCGATCCCTTCACGTGTTTCCTGTTTTGCTTTTTCTCTGGAGTACAGCTAAAACGTCTGGGCAGTTCATGTAGCTGTATTCGCTCAAAAGAATAACAGCAAACACGGTAGGGATCGATACTACGATGTCTTACTGTGAGTTCCGACCACTCGTTGTGGCCTTTTTCTTTGAAACTGTTCAGAAGTCGTTCTGCAAATTTGGAAAGTAGATTTGAGATCAGCGTTCGAAGGCTCATCTAAGCCTATACATCTCTTTTTGAATAACCATGCGGTCCAGAATCCTCGTTAGAATCAAACAATACTGCAAACCGAATAAGAGTCTAGTGTTACACAAAGGGCGGGGGAGGAGGAGTTGGGGGTGTTGTGGTGAAATAGCCTGTGCCGCTTACAATATTTTCTCACTTTTGCAATTGAGAGGAAGCGCTGGTGGTGTGTGAGTCAGTTCGCTTTTGATTTCACACGCACATCTCGGAGCTTCCAACTCTTACGAAAGCGGGACGGGTGTAGGCGGCTTGAACTGTGCAACGCATGCCCCCTCCGGTAGCACATTGACCTAGAGAAGTAAATGAATAATTATCTGAATAGATGAACTTACATTGATCCTTTTCGTTTTCTGACGTATGCTTGAGCAGCAAACACAATCAATGAGAAAATTTCGAGTAGGCTGACCACGGAGGCGCCAATCCACAATCCAGTCAAACCGCCCAGATCAGCAAGTACGCTCGTAAGCTGGATGAAAAGTGGTGCGGTTAGAGTGAATGTTAGTGAAGCGTCAAATTAATGAGTCTATTATGTATGCTATTCTCGCGAGATGTCAGGCTACGCTATTATTTATTTGATTTACATGGTTTTTTCGGGGGTATGTGAAAGAATGTTTCGGGTAATACAAGTCTCAGTTCGCATCCTTGGACAACAGAGCTCTTCAGAATGGGGAATTGATTTTAACGCTGCTGTAGATATAGTTGAAAACTCCCTCTTGGGAACTTGAAGTGCTATAAAGGCAAAACGATCATCTGTGAATCCATATTGGAGTGGCGCTCTAATAATCTGTGTCCAGCGATATGTGATGTATTATGCCGAATTTGATGTGCGATCCGATGTCAATAACTCGCAAGACCAGCTGTGTCAAATATGTCAACTTGTAAATGTTCTCACCTGTATGGGAGCAGTAGCGTTTTAGTCGGCGTGCTGCTGGTTCACATTGGGCTTAAGCGACAAGATTCATCCGTGGACCAGTCCGAACGATAGGCCTGGTAAGCGGAATCACGTATCACTACACCAGTTCGTCTGGCGAGGTGATGACGAGAGCCACGTCATGTGTCACCCAGCGATGAGTGATGCCACCAAGGAAGTCTGGCTCGGGAGACAAGGAAGTTGCGAAAAAATCAAAGTAGAGCGTCAATGCCGTACAAGCGAGACAGAGGAGAAGCATATGATATTGCGAAGGGACAAGGCTTTCTAAAAATATTAAAATTCTATCATATGTTCAAGCAAGTATATTGCGGCACTGTTTACCCCAAGACAATGTAGATCATGAATAAGCTCGTGAATGACGTTTCCGAGAGCATCGCTATTCGAGTATGTCGACTGTAATTTAAAGCATTAGCCCCAGATGAGGTCCGGAGTTCTCGAAGAACTATTTTTGTGGGCGGCCGATAGAGTAGCACAACAGTGTCAAATATGCATTTTCCGGCTCGAGAATCCACTAGAACGACGTTTAGAGACCTTCAAAGTAGAGGTCTGCACTGGCGAATAATTCTAATTATGGACGAGATAGCACGCGCACACTCGTGATACGCTGCGTAGATTACCACGTGGCGGCTAATTGGAATACACGCGGTTTAGTGGAGCCGTGGAGCAGGCAAGTTCGCACAACTCGCCAGCCATAGAACTTGCGACAGAATTGTTTTTTGATAGAAAGTATGTAACACACATTATTCACTTGTGACATTTAGTGGCATTCTCTGTCGTTTGCACGGCCACTTACGCATACTAAGCAACGTGCTTACGAAGACCAACTGTTGTCGAAATCCAGTGGCGTTGAATCAAAAAAAATGGAATAGCTCCAAGTTTCTCGAATTTTCGTTCGATCTTACGTTTGCTAATTTTACACTTTTTATTTGCATTTGAGAGGATTTAATATTTAATTATTGGCCCACCCGACTTACGGGAGAACATATAGGGGCTAAAGTGACTGATGTAGGCACCTATTTTTAGATCATTGGTTTCAGCCAAACTCACGGTCATTTGTTATATTTACCTGTACGTTTTACGTTAACACAAGAACTTTCCGAAAGCAACGAAATCTAGTAAAAAACTTGCACTTTATTGAATGAAATTTCGGAACATGAAAACAAGCATTTCCACACCAGTGATTTCGAAAACAGTTCGTGCTCTAACGTTGTGCTTCAATTGAGTTGAGCAGCTTATCAAACCAGAAGTCCAAATTCCTACACGAAAACACCAGCTCAATGTGAGCCCTTAATGGAAAAGTTACATCAGCTACGATGGGAGCAGGTATAGTGACACACATGGGAACTGAACTGGAGCGATTCTAATACGAATTTCTGACCCCGTCGAGAATGCAATATCTATGCGGCCGGGCGGCGCGCGCGCTCTGAACGGAATTTCTGCCCTTCCGAATGAAGTCCAAATTCTTAAGAGGTCTGATTATATCCTGGAGCCTCTTCACACTGCAACATCTTTGACCAGAGTCAACCCTGCGTTGCGCAGTTTTCAACGGCCACGTTGCGCAGTTTCGCCCGATTTAGACGCGTGGTTGTTCGCCGCCGAACATTCATCATTGGTGGGTTCTGTTCGCTCGAGCGACACATGTACTCTAGAGATTTCACGACAGTCTGGCTGTCGCCCAGGTGTTCGTTTAACATCGCGTGGGGTCCAGTTGCTCTGGTTCAGCCGTCATCACCGAATCATATGACGTACCCGCACCACCTGGCCTCTAGTACTTTGAGGAATGCGAATGCGTTGCAGTGGAGAGTTCCGGATTCACTCCTCCACTGAGTGTAATGGCAAATTCTAAGCGCGGTTTTCAAAAGGAACTTGATTATGACTTCCTATTTAAACCATGCCTGCATAGAGCCCATGTCTCTGAGATTTGCATTAGAGTAGGAGGGAATGCTTAATTTTAGGGGTGGTTGTAAAAGTGGGTATTTTTCGTCTTCTTTACTAATCTCTCAATATTCTCGAATCCCGAGCCGCTCGCTCTGTCCTCTGTCTGCACGTTCATCATCTCATTTAGCTGCAAAATGAACCGCATTACTCCAATTGTTTGGGGGGTTTTTTTGTACGAAAATCGATTTGCGAGCAGGACGTTGTCTTTGACTTGGAATACGGTGGGATTGGCCATTGGTCTCAATAGAATCGTTGCCCTAGGAGAATGCGAGAATTCTGTGAAAGAATCTTGGTGATGGAAGCTAGAACAGAGGAAACCAATATCCAAGCAAGACTGCGGATGCGACAAGTTTCTGAAGCGGTCTATGCAGAGATTATTGTATAATGGTAATGCGTCAGTTCGATATCTGAACACTTTAGGCTCGACCACGCAGTTGACGTCGGATCATTCAAGTGTGAGTTAGTGAGTAGCTTGCGCATGCTAAAGGTTTAACAGTTAGAATTAAAGTGATGTAGACTTGAGGCTGTTTATGTGAGCTCAAGCGGATGAAAAGCTTTCTTAGCTCATGAAACTAAAATGCGGGCTATGATTTAATTGAATTAATTTGAAAGCGCAAACTGCAAGCAAAAAATCAGCAACAGTCAAGGAACTTACTGTGTATGCAGGTGTTTCTTGGAGCGTTTCATAGTTCAATTCTTCATAGAATATTTGGATCATTGCAGCATTTTTGCGATATTTCTCAAAGGCACATAAAATCTCCAGGTACACAATCCATCACTTTTGCTGAACCAGATGGCCATCTGGCTGCCGAGTAGGTCACTTCATAATTCGTTTCCCTGAAAATGACGGTTTCTATGATTTTACTTGGTTCCTCCTAGAGGTGATTGATTGACAGTGGATAGCTGCTAGGTTCGCAGTCTTGGCTGAGCGAGTCTCACGAGTATTATTGTTCTATTTAATTGTATGCGAGAGGCTCTTCCTGCAATCTGCTGACTCTCTTAACCAAATTTCTATACAATATTGCTGTTGAAAAGGTTCAGGCGGCTTCGAATCTCTTCCTGGGCGGCCTTGATTTTTCTTAATCACCTCTAAGAGCAGGTTCACGTTGAAAAAGACAACTCAAGAAATCATGGTAGGGGTGGTCAATGATGCCGGTATGAAGTTAGAAAATCAAGGAAAACGGCCTTAAAGCTGGGAAATGTGACCCCTTCTAGCGCGTTTGGCGTGTCTCCTCGGTTCTCACCTTCATCCCTGGTAAAGTGGCCCGAGTCAGACGGCGAGATGGTGGGGCAGCGAGAGCGGCACAGGTATTGTCCCTGCTAGGGCTAGCTGTGTCATTACCGTGGCGAAAAACCCGCATCGTCCAGCACCCCTAGGGCTCGCCTGCCTTTTCACTGGGTGTCTTTCCCCTTCTTCGACCTCCGACCTTATCGTGGAATACTCTTCGAAAAGATAGTAACACGATAGGATGCTCAGTGTTGACCCCTTAAAAGAATTAGGCTATAGAGTGGGAGCAAGGTACTAATGTACACGTATATGAAGATTATCAGGGCGGTTTAATGTGATCGCTTCTGGGTTATATCTTGACAAATACCGGGTACAGGGCCAAGACACTGAGTATATTGCCTGATATTTAAATTTGAATATTTAGCCATACGAAAAAGTCAAACTCACTTGCAAGGTTGATGACAGTAGCATCCGGGAATTCCACCTTTTTCTTTTGAATACAACTCTCCAAGGTAATGTGTTGCGTTCCGAAGGCCAGTCACGTTGAACCATATCGGTGGCACGACAGGCAGCCATTCCGTTCTTGTTTGGGATAGGGAACATCGGATCTCCACATTTGCAGAGCTCCATAATGACTTTTTGTGCACAACTTCGGTGACAGGCCTATAATGAGGCGCAACGATTCAGAAAATATATCGACCTCTAGTCACTTCCAAATTTACCTCAACCGAGTAGTTGAAACCCTTATAGATGAAATTAGGATCACCTTCCCCACCCTCTTTGCAGTGACCATGTGGTGCAACCAGGCGGATGAATTGTTTCTTAAACAAGCTGAGAGTAATAAGAAGTTAAATTGCCTGGTTTTTTGCGCAGGAACAGTAAACGAACCATTCTAACTCCGTAGGAAGACATAAATCCTGTCGGAGCGCTGTAACCGAAAGCATCCGGAAAGGGCACAATATGCTTGTCGTGAACTGTTATTCGAAATCCCACCGCTTCCGATGTTGGCAGATATTCGCTGACATTCGCGTAGAGAAGAATTCGCAATCCTGAAGTTTGCTTGGTCAAATCGGCTCAGGGCCTTCAATCAAAGCAGACATACCGTAATTTGCTCCTGCTCTGTGCGACGATGCTCCTTCATGGTTGAACGTGTAGCAGTTTCCATAAGTATTATCGTAGTACAGAGTGAAATCACTGAAATTGGCGAGTTTTGAATTCCCACCTACTGTACATTACTTGAGTAAAACCCTATGAAAGCCCCTGTAAGTAATGATCACAAATTACAAAATGTTATGAATCTTTTCCGAGAAATTTACGTGCAGACGTACTTTAACCATTTGACTGACGTGTGGCTAGCTGGTGGCCACGACCGGTCGTCACAGGGTCAAGGCTACCCTTTCCATGTTATCGGTACTCGCGAAACACATTTGACATAAATAATAATGGAAACTGTCCTGGAGAGTTTAATGAATACTGGTGAAAAAATTTCGAAATAAATGAGTGACGCACAGTACAGTTGCAGTCGTTAGATGTCGGTCAGACTCTGCGATTGCATCGCGCGATGCAGTCGCTCTTGCAATGTGCACAAGCGACGGGCGATTGGCATCGCTCCAAAGTGCGAGCGACGGGAGATTTACCCGAGCGGCGCCGTGTGTATCGGTCGTCGGCGGGGTAAATCTTTGGAGCGATGCCAATCGCCCGTCGCTTGTGCACATTGCAAGAGCGACTGCATCGCGCGATGCAATCGCAGAGTCTGACCGACATCTAAAGGTTAAGTTGTTTCATTGGGAAGGAGAAAACAGTACAAAGTCACAGGAGAAGGGTGCAATAAAAAATAAATAAGTAAATAAATAAGTAAACAAATTAGAGAGTAGTTGGGGTCTATCGATCTTTTTGGTGCTTCGTATGCTTTTATTATAATTTTTATGATGAGCCGAGCTATGTTGTGCATAATAGCTTGATATTCGAAACAATTTTATGGGTCGTTTCGTTTTGTTCTAACGTGCGGGTGGATAGCATTACATTCAGTTTTCAGCCGAAAGAGTTTCCGAGTTAGAGCGCACAATATCGTAGGATGAGCACAGATGTTCGAATCAAATGGATAGCATGGGAAAGTGAACAGATGGGCAACCCAGCATTTTTTAGGGACCACGAGTGGTGATATAATGAAATTAGGGTCAACCATGGCGTCTCTGCCCGATTTCAAACCTGAAGTTGAGGTAATTAAGCCTCCATGGGCAGATGGGCCGTGCCGTAGGCATAAAGTAGGCAACTGAATCACACAGATAAGAATGAAACTGTGTGATAATTTCGATCGCAAATTAATCATATAGAACTAATCAGCTCAGAACGACTACAATGTATTCGACTAGACAAGACGAAACAAGTTGGTATCCTTCTATTTATAAAGCGCTAACTTTGTGTGTCGGTTTGTGTATCTGTATGTGTGTGTGTGTGTGTGTGTGTGTGCGTGTATGTATGTGTGTCCGTCCGCAAAATGAAGTGAGTGAGAAGGAAGCTCATGGGATAAACAAACCGCTAACAAATCGGGTAGCTTACAGGATTTGAGATATCAATGTTTTGTAGCAGGATAGTTGTGATAACACTCTTAGGGCTATATAAACACCTGCTTAGCACACTTCCGTTCATTCCACATGGTGCTGCAGTGGCAGCTGGAGGGCAGTGGAGAGAGGAAGGGAGGATGAGGAAGGGAAGCGAAAAATCTACCGTCATATCATGATTGTGTCCCTTCTACTGTATGAAACACCATTGTGTTGCATACGCGTCACTTCCAGGTGTTGGTGTCACAGGAGGAAGGGACCATAGCGGAGGATAGAAAGCTTGCGCAGGAAAGGAAGGTCCCGGCGGTTGACGGGGGACTAATCTGGTAATAATATAAAGCACATATGAAGCAGGAGAGAAGCAACAATCAAGCAGTAAACAATCGGAAAAAAGTTCGAGGTTTCTAAGAATTCTCCAAAACCCAAATCCCGTTTTTGAAATCGCACTGCTCATCACTATTACGGGAACTGCTTCGGAGCTTCTATAGTATAGTAGCTGAGTGGGATTCAGCGCGTTGACTCTACTGCCTTAAGATGAGAGCAGGGAATTCCAAAGCAGGTTCTCCTTCGCAGGAAAGGTGTTTTACCAGAGGAGTGGTAGAATTTGCTGGAACTGGAATTCTACACATGTCATTAACTGTTGGTTAAGGTGTGACCAGCTCGGGCATGCTTCTACTATAGCGTAGAACTCGTGGTAACTCAGAGAAAGCAAACAGGAAGATGTTTAGGGGCTATTAAAAGAGACTGGCAACTAGTGTTGCTTATGATGACTGTTGGTCGATGCCCATCAAATTCTGCATTTACGACTCACCTGGGTACGGGAAACAAAGGGTACAGGTAGCTGCTCTGTGTTAGAACAGAACTCTCTGTTCTAAGACAGAACACAGTGGTCAACATGTCTTTGTGACATGAGAATAGCAGCTGCTATTGTCAGTGTAGCTATTCAAAAATATAAATTGTCCACAAATTAATATGCAGTCTTCTAACAAGAAGCAACAACAAGTAAGAAGCGGTCGAACGGATAACCATATCGGAACAACATAGAAACAGTCAAGAAAACAAATTCAAAGGAAGAAGTGGGACACTTGCAAAACCGCTTACTTTTTCATGTCACAGTCCTTCTGATTGAAGGAGCATTTGAGAACGAATTCGTCCAGCTGGTGAGACATGCCCTCTTTTTGTTCCGGTGTCATGGAACCAACAGCAAACATCAGATTCTGCTGCGCTTGAGTTACGATAGCGATTTCATCGGTGAGGTTCTGAAACAATGGAACGGTTGTGATGAATGCTTGTTGGAGCAGATTCATAACTCACTTACCTCGAATCCAAGCGCTTGCGTCACCTGTGGTGCTTCTGTGGTCGTTGTCGTTGTGACCCGCTGTTTAAGCTTTATTTGTGACTCTGAACGTTCGGTGACGTTCAGAGTTTCAAGCTCGTCATTGGGATCGATCTCGATGATCACACCATCTTCTCGATTCGACACACAGTGATTGTACTCTTTGTGACAGAGGCATAGGTCGGCCATCTCTTTGATATTTTCAAAGGGCTCCTTGCCGTAGTAGAATCGCATTGGGCAGTGACCACTGTCATCTACGCACTCCGTGCATATTTTTTCTTTCCATGTGTTGTCTGAAACACTTTTTTGGTGACAGGTTATTGGGAATATTTTTTGCGTAGCATTTCAAGGTACTTACATGGAAAGCACGGCCATAGAGTCTTAGAAACCATGTCAAGCTGACACAAACATCTGGAGGCGTGCAGACTTCGTGGTGACAATGCGATATCAACTGCGACTTTTCCTTTGTAAGCGGCAAAGCATGAGCCTTTCCGTTCGGCTGTTAACGGATCAACGTCACATAAGCATTGGGCAAGCGCTTGATGATAGCGCCGATCACGTTTTCGTCGTTTTGGTTTTCGTTTTTGTCGCCGTACTGAAAGGAGCAAATCAATTTCTATACGAAAAGCAAGCACATTGGAACGCATGCTACGTCATCGCCAATGGAATGCCACCTCACCGGCATGCTTTTTTGTCGGATGCGGCTGTCCCGCCAGTGTACGAGGCGTCTAAGAGGGTCTTTTGTTAGGCCGCACGTTTCGACAAGTATTTTGATGTAGAAACGAGATACTAAAGGTGGCTTGTAGATTGCCTACTCCCATCACTAATCATGTTTATCGATCAGGGCAATCGCTAGTCCACGAGCTGTAACTCAATCGATATTGAGAACTTTGGTGAACTGTAATTCTTTGGCGGTGAGTAGTGCAGAAAAGCTGCGAGCGCAGTGTTTTGCATGTCTGCGGTACCGAGTCCCCCTCAAAAGGCGACCCCTCATGGGTCGGTCAACCCATGTTCATTTGTTTATGAAGGCGAAAACACTGGAACAAATGTCTGTGGCTGGTCTATATTAGTGAAATTCAAAAGTTCAAATTTCCACAAAATCTCACAAATCCGAGGAAGTGGAAATGGTTTTTCAGTTTTGGGATGAGGAAAATGCTCATAGGCAAAGTTCTCTTCGACATTTCTTGATGAGTTCGTTAGTTTTATTGGAGGTCATTTTTCATTGTTAATTGGATAACGTTCGAGAGAGCTTTCCTCAGCTCAATTCAAACATAATTTAGAGAGAGAGAACAAATGCTAATGCAATCGTTGCGCTGAATGGTCTTCTGGTAATTATTCTGCTTGTTCTTGACGCGATTTTGTATTAGTAACAAAGAATTTAATCAATTGACTGGATCCCGTTTTGTTTGGTTCTTGAGGACATTTAAACCTAACCCCTTCAACTATAATCTCAACCAATGCCGTGGAATTGAGAGAAGGCACTTCCCGTTGTATGAATTCTTTTGCAGAATACTTTTTGTTCTTCCTGGTTTGTGATTAGTGGGGTGGGAAAAACTTGATTCTCGAATGATTGCTACTTCTCGCCAGTTGCTGTAAATATATTGCCGGCATGCCGCATCAGGAAAAACTCACTTCATGAAAATTGCGTAATTGTTGGAATTGTGTTAGTTTAAAGCTATCGCTTGAAGACGGTGAAGCGGATTTTTAAAGGCAGCAGTCAGGTTTATTTGACGTAAAATGAAAATAGAAGAATTCAAGAGAAAGGAGCAAGAAACTGTGAAATGGGATTTTTCCTCGCTGCAGATTGGCTAAGCTTGCGGTGGAGGGATTCATTTGTTATCATGCTATCTCGAAGTGAAGATGATAAAAGGTATGGCTCAGGTTGTTCAAAGAAATTCACGTCTCCAGGAGGGCAGACTAGCCTCTCAAGCAGTTTTTGAATCCTTCCTCAGTACCTTATCACGTTTCAACCGCAACTTTCGCGAGCGGCTCCTCTAACGGTTTTGGAAATTGAATGAATTTCACGAAGAAAAACGGCCAAAAAGAGCATAACTGAGATCATTGTGAGACTGCTTTTTGAAATCCACATCCACTCCAAAAAACTCCGTCGCACTATTTTTCACGAACAAGAAAAAAATGTAAAATATGGCGTGCGAGAAGAACCATAATAAATGTGAATAGTTCGAGGAAGAAAAAAAATGAGATAACTCGATCCAAACCTCTTGAATGGAAGTGAGAGGCTAGTGCGGCGGCAATGCCTTCCGACTTGTCTCCGGATGATATTCGCTTGGAATAAGCGTCGATCTGGAAAACGACTTGTGACACAGATTTATTTGATGTTATAAGATTCATTACATTAGAATAAACTCACCATCGCTTTTGTCTCCGGGTTCAAATTAATGGCACTTTTTTTGTACGGATTTAAATTGCACAATGTAATAGAAGGGAATGGTGCGTTTTCAAATTTCAACTGAAAAAATTTCGGAAATCAGATTACGCAGAAATGAGATCGCTTTGATGGAAGCTATAAAAAATCGAAAATTGGTTGAACAGATAGATATATGAAATATTTTTTAGATTCTTTCTGAAATCTTTCAAAGTGTGAAAATTCACATTTGAAAAAAAAATCAATCAATCAAATCAAAAAACCAAATCAATTTAAGATCAAGGAAATTATAGGCAAATTGTAGAAAGATTTCAAGCTGCCGTCTGCACCGTTTTTCAGTTAAATTTAAAGTAGGATATTAATCATTTCCAGAGAGTATGATTATCTTTCGTGGGTCTTAGCCTTCCTCGCTTCAATTGACTCTGATAAATTGCCTCGAACCTTCCAATGGGTTCACAAAAAATTTGAACAATTTTATGAAATGTTTAGTCCATTCTGCTGCACTGTTGAAGGGGTATGGTCTAGAGAAAGCCCAATGGGTCGATGCGCTGTGCTCCACAAAAGAATCCGTCAGACTACTTCAGACTAGTGAAAAAAATCAAAAAAATGGTTGACCCACAGTTTGTACTCTGTGATAGATAGTGCAAAATCACTTCACATGCGATTAAACTTGTCTGAATTACGCTGAGATACTTAATGAGACGTCTGTAATATGTAACGAGCTTCTTTTCCTTACCATGTAGAAATTCAAGGAAAATAGTCTTCAGTGAGGAGTAGAATTTCACCTCGACCTCGTTGATGGTAGCCTAGCCACAAAAGGTCTCCAGAAATGCTCTCCAAAATAACGATTGATCTCGTAGGCTTCAAAGAGAACAGGTGAAGAGGGTAACAAAATTGGTGCAGCATCAGTTATGTCAAACTGAAAGCAATGGATAATAACATTACGTTATAGAAATTCAAAAAGTGCACTGGCTCTTATGAGACCCAAGGCAACTTTTGTTTGATATTTTTTGTGAAAACTGAGTTTTTAGCAGCTTAGTGAACTGGTGTTCAAAAGAAAGAAAGCTCTCAAGATTTTTTTGGCGGAGATGGTGTGCCCATTTTTGGTGAATCGTTTGAAATGGACAGGAGGGTTCAAGGAGGATAGGTTGAAGGGTGTTTCAAATTGTCAAGGAATCTCGCTGCTGCGGGTCCTTTATTCGCGTGGTGGATTGGTACTTTTTAGAAGTTGTGTGACTTTTTGGTCTACAAGTATGTCCACGTAAGCGCAGCAAATGACCTTGATATGGTCTCTATTTGAGACGTGGGATCCTTTAGCCTTCGAATCTTAATATTAGGAAAGTTTTGGAGCGAGCTCACGTTTTGGCCGGCTACTCAAGGGGCTTCAATCAAGTCACACGATAATTCATTTTAGTATTAACTCCAACTTTGTTCCGTGAAAGAGCACAGGAAAAATCGGCATAATCATTCCCATTTGAAATTCCCCACTCATTGTACTTGTGGGGAGCCAGCTCATGTACAATCATTTTCATTGTCGCGAGGCCAGGTCTGTAGACAGAAGAATGGAGGGTTTCTTTGCATGATCAAACTTTTGACGCGGGATCCGCGAGCTGGGTGGACGGTAAGCGGCAACATTTGCCTTGGCGAAATGCCCTTTGATTAAAATTAAAGTACAAATTTCTAAAATGAAATCTTAACGGGGAATGTTCCCATGCTAGTTTCTGTAGGATGCGCTAACTGTTCTTACACGTCTAATTTTGCTTACGGATATGCTTCAACAGGCTTCTTGGTCAGTGGGAAGCGGGCTTTGCTTAAGATGAGGTTGTGATTCCAAAATTGTCAATAAAGACTATCAAAATCCCTGCTTTTTTTTCAAATTTCCAAGGTGCCATTGTTCAAAGGGAGACTTTTTGCACTGATGTAGTGGATACTGTAACATGTGTAGAATCAATCATCTCAATTTTTTCCCAATTGCCACATGGGTGACACTAACACGCTGGTGTTCAGTTTCTTTCAGCGAGGAGCAGCGTTCCACCTCATGGTGTTTAAAGTTTGACGTGCACTATGCTAATCGATAAGCGTTTTGGGATAGAATGGATAGCTTCTGAAGCGAATCAATCAATATTTCGGAAATTCACGTAGATAATAGCATTTTGCAGAAGAGATATGCTTAACTGCCGTTGAAGCAATGCAGAAAATTGTAAAGGAAACAAGGATGTTGTAAAATGGATTTAAAAATTAGAAGTAGAAGAAGAAAAGTAACTTACGTCGAGATCAACAGTTTTTGCATATTGCAGATACTTTACAACAAGAAAGAATATTTGAATAGCCAAACAGAAGAAACACAGCCAAAAAGCGGAGTACCAAAAACACCGCCATCTATTATTAGGAGCAAGTGCTGCATGGCTAATCCCGTGAAATGTGCTTTGACGTTCGAATCGATGCCGGATCTCTTTATAGTTCAGATGGCCTGGTACCCGTATTTTAGTGAGGCCTAAAATGATGAATTTGATTTTTGTCGACTCCATTCATGGTGGAAAGTTACTGATCTTTCAGTGCAACTTGCCATTATGTGAAAAAATGGAGCGACGTCGTTTTGGATCAAAAGGTTTCTCCATATTTAACAATATTGGCTAGAATATTGGCAATCGGGACACATTGTAGAACTGAGAACAGCTACGACTGCTAGCGCGAGCATGCGATCAACATGCTTTCGATGTAAACAGGGAGATAATAATAATGTCAGGTACACTCATGAACGCATGACAACGATTTGATGCACTTGAACTCATCATCATCATGAGGGATTAGTCGCGGTTTATCGATAGAGAGCGTTACAATCATATCAAGAGCGTTCGAGAAAGGAAGATCGCACTATCAACGTACCTATTGGTGGTTTGATGGACATTCTTCGTCGCACATTATGCCACCTCTTCTGGTGATCACCAAGTGACGGCCGATGTCCTATGAGATCTGTATTCGTGAATCTGATACTTTTGCTTTCTTCGGATGGCTGTCGAGTGCCAGCAAAGGAAGATTTGTGAGTGTCGATACTAGACTGCTCTTGGGATAGGTTTCGAACTGGAGGTGGGTGGGACTCCTCATTGCCATCCATCGTTTGGAAAAAGTGCTGAGAAGAATAGGTTGAGAGTGCAAGCGAGAGTCAACTGTGTCAGTGAGTTGACAACATCGAGACACACTTTGCGACCGAATAGACGGAGCTGTGTGCTCAGATGCCAGGATTCTGTGCGAAATTCTGAATACAGCCAGTTGTAGTTATGTTGGTCCTATACGCTCATGAAGATTATCTGGAATATCTGCAACTTTTTGATTAGATTCGACTATAAACATGAAATATCAAAAATATCGACTAAAATATTGATTGAAAGAAGATGTGCAACGCTGGAGGGCAAGCCACAAATCAGTTGCGATCTCAGGCAGCTAGCGGAGGAGAGGCGCCTGCTGTCGACGGACTATGACAAGCATATAAACAGAAAGGTCTAGGAAAAAGACATTTGGCCAGGTGTTACTGGATCCTTCATTGACCAACCTTTGGACAGCGATGGAGTCATATTTGGCTGAAATCCTACGAACGGAAGTCATCTGTCGCCAGCTATCTAATTCATCTGCCTACTCCGGTGAAAACCTTTGCACTTCTCTTGTTACACTCTGTTACGAAACCCACGAGCTGTTACCTATCTTATCCTGGTACGTAACCTGGCGTACATTTGATAGTCTTCCATGATCATGGTGTGCCTCACAAAGTGCAGCTTTGCGGTGTCGTTTTCTATCAGTGACAGCAGCTTTCCAAAGGAAAAGTCTAGAACAGTGTACTCTCAAGAATTTATCCCTCTTCTGCCGTTCTTAGTATTTGTGGCTTCAAAAAAATTTTGCAGAGTGCACTGACACCCGGTGGCAAGAACGATGTACTCACGGACATTGAGGCGTCATCTAGAACGACTTCACCTCAACATGCACTCTTCGCCACTTTATATGTGGGTGAATCGCCGTTTGGACTATACGCCATGGACGTGTTGGTCGACAAGCACACCATCACCTACGCGCCAAAATACCTTGGCCCTCCGCTGCTGGAAGGACCGAGTCCTATAGCTCTATCGGTACGTCAAACTGCTGATGCTGGTCTTTGGGCGAGCTGATATCCTTTCATTTCAGGATGAGGAAAAAGCAAAGTTCATTCCTCCATCAAGGCCAATAATTACTATTGATGTGCCCGCAATCACCCATAAAACAACGGACGGAGAGTTCCTGCTGCTAGGTATATAAATTTGATTTTGTTTGCTCATAATGACGAACATTTAAAATCCAGTGATTTATTGCGATTTTTTTGTCTTTGATTAACACGATTCATTAATGCCTGGAGGTTTTGTATACTGAATAACATTACGACCAGAAGAACTGCCTAGGCGGTCTATTTGCTCTTTTTCTGACCATTGTAGCAGAAACCAGTGACCTTTGCCAAGAGGTATTTCGATATTTTTAAGGATACCATGAAAGGCCGATGGTAGATCTGGGAGCGATCTTGCCGATTCGATTCTCGGACACGCCATCATTTCCACATATAGTCTACAAACCGGACAATTCTGATATGAAGCAGGTAATTTCTTTTACTTCAAGTTCTTTTTCTTATTCAATTGCACATGTAGGTGCGCATTTGACATCTCATGGTGGAATTATGGTCGCCAATGTCCTCCTCTATGTGTAGGACACCGTATCTTTTGTTGCTGTCTTACCTGGTTCTTTTACCGAATTTCAGTTATGTTTACAAAAAAGGGAGGCCTGGAAAGGATGCACGTAAATCCAAGACGAAACCCACATTCAGTGGGCGGGGCCTGCAACGAAACGGGCGGTGCCGCGGAAGGGAATATTGAGTTTGATTATATAACAGTCTAGGAAGCGACAGACATATATAAAGGTGTGTCTGAGTTGGCAGGCTGGCTCGATTTGGAAGGCTTCCCAACTCAATATACAGCTTTATTCATGTGGGCGAGGTGTTCTGCAAATAGTTACAATGAAAATTAATTATTCTGGTATGAGAAGGTCTACGGAGCTGAAAAATTGTGGATTAAAGACCATGTGAAGGCGACGAAGACAAAAAATGCGTTTCCACAGTAGGCCGGATCTGTCAAAAATCCTGCCATGTGTTGTTTGCTCAGTCACGTTTCTTACAAAATCGCCCATAATTTGATATTTACGAGAAGTCTCAAGAACCAAAAAAAGAAGGTAGAGATCTACGCAGAAAGGAGAGTCATTTGCCATTGGTTGGCAGTTCCTACCCAAAATGCACAAAGTGGCTCGAAAACTGTTTTGGAATCGGAAAATGCGGATCAACATTGAGGAAGGAGAAAAGTTGAAGGTTTAATAGTAGGTAGAGTTTGCACCCTTTTGAGTTTTGGGAGGCTGGGTTGGTTGTTGGGTATTTCCTTCCGCTCCTTTTTCGTTTTCGGATCTGCAAGACAGGATTACTTCCGATTGAGGCAGGCCCTCAGTTTTAGAAATGAATAATTTTTGAAATAAAATGTTTTTGTTTTATTGCTTACGATCCCTTTTGAATGGTGTTGTTTGCAGATTTCGTCATCAAGAATAGAAACGTTGGAAAATAGTCTTGTTGGGATGCTGCTAGAGATCTACATCCATCATCCAATTGCATTCTTTTCGACCCTTTTCACCCTTCTCGCATTGGCTGTTACGGTGGTTTGGATGTGCGGAAAACAGGTGAGCAGTAACTATCATGAACTAGCATACCTTTTAAGTGTATTAAATAATACCCTTTTACAATTTTATCCGTAAAAAGCTTCCCAGGGGCAGAGGCGATGTAGTAACAAGTGGCGCTAGTTTCCATGTGCATAGTCTGAGGGGAGAGTTACAGATTGGATTTTGCTCAGAATCAAAAGCCCTCAGTTACTTCGATTTCCTCAGAGCGCTCATTAATTCCACAGATTTCATTGATGGATAAAGCAGTGAGTTTGGCATCGGTGATTCCTCACATGATCATTGCATAAGCAAAATCGAGTTTAAATGCCAGCGTGAAGTGAAGGGAAAGTGCGGCGTGACTCATTCTGGAAATGGGTTGATCACCAAGTGTTTTATCTTTTGTGTTTTTGAATTCCATAGAACAACTTCTCAAAGGGTCGCTCGAAGGAGTCCTACTTAGTAGGGTTCGCAACCTTATGAATCAGTGCTCCTCCCCACAGGGTCTCCATGTGCTCTTGCTAATTTCGCTTACAAAAGCAGCAAACTCAAGATGATTCTTTCTGAATTCGTGGATGGGATATGAGTAGCCCCAGGTGACAGTTTTGCATTGTGGTCAAAAAGTGTTGGCGGAAAGGCACTAGAGAGGCTCACAAAGTTAATGCGTGGGATAATGTGCTAAAAGGCCGACTTTGGGTGTAGTGACAAGTGGCGCGCTTACCACGCGAGCGGTCCGGGATCAAATCCTGGGTCGTGAGTCGCCCGGGCCAACCAAGCCTTCCATCCCTCCGGGGTCGGTTAATTGGTACCAGACTTGTCTGGGAGGATAAAAACACTGACTTGTACATCGGCTGGCCCCCGCAAGTCATTGTATAGGCCACATCGCATTCAAATGCCACTACGAATGTACAAATGGAAGTAGAATGCGTGCCGCATCCCAAAAAGGGATTGATCAACGGCAAATGCTTTATCCTTTATCCTTTTATGTGAGCTAATCGGACGAGATTCTCGCACACTTCCTATGACACGCAACGTACATTACGGTGTAGCAGCTGATTCAAAGACGGGAAGGAGGGTTAATGGAGCCATGGAGCAAGCAAGTTCGGACAACTCGTCCGGACGTGCCCCTCACTTGTTCAAGGGTTAAGAGAGGTAGTCCTTGTTCAAAGACTATCAGCAGTTTGCTTTGCTTCTTTTTTCATTCGCAGTAAACTCGGCATCCACAATTTTATTACTAACCGCTATTACCCAACAGTTACCACGATCTGGGGTTGTTGCGTGCAATAGAACCACATGGGTATTTGCTGCTGGGAGTAGGCGCTCTTTCCTGGGATTCTGAAGAATATATTAGGGGTGAGTGGATGATGATTGCGTGGGTAAAGGTGTTGCGTGCCTGTCTGGTCGTATAGTCGATGAGTATCGAGTTGCATCGTCTCATGACCGCAAGTGCGAATAGATGGCAAAAAATTCCCTGCTTTTTTCTCTGTATTTAATAACTTTTTGAAAAATTACCTATCGGTTTTCAAAGTGGCTGATAAAAAAGAAGGAGCTGATTATCCGCAGTCCTTCCACTTGTTTTTCTCGGACTTTTCTCGAATTTGTCCTTAGAAATTTGGATGAGAAAAAGGATTGGTGTACGACCAGTGACAGCTAAGCATTCGGTTGACCAGAAATACTTGCGATCCTTTTTATAAATATTAGGTTGGCCCATAATTAGTGAATCACTTTGAATTTATTGCTATAAATTCCATGAAAAATCTTGAAGGCGTGAAACATGTTTTGCCAAGTAGTGACCACAATGTCCTACCTAAGCAATCAGTCGGCCCGTTCACACGTTTCCTTCCGAGGCTCAAATTTCAATTTTTCTGAAATCTTCCCCCAAACACGATATGAAATCGCCATGTTCGCTCCTGCTTCCCAGAGTTCTTTTCAGTGATCATCCTGCGTACTCACCAGTGTTGTGAAGTGGGTGGAGTGTGCTAGCAAATTCACAAGGAGCAGCAGAGTAGCTTGAAAGATTGGAGAGTTCTGACAACAAAAGCCCAACCACCTCTGTCGGACCTGTATGTCTGGCACTTCTGAGATTTTAGTGGGGCACAGAACAGGACCTGGCGCTGGGAACCAGAGCCTAGTAATACTAGAGTCAGTGAGTAAGGCATACGTTGACAGCATAATGGCGATTCTATCTGAGGGTAAAGCAAGACAAAGTCTGGTTTTTTCCTGAGGTCATTCGACCCCACCTTTCGGAAAATCTTCATAAAAAATTGGAGACCTTTGGGCTAGCAGTTCTTCCAGCTCCACCGTGAAGCCCTACCCTCGTATCAGCGAAAGATAACCTAGACTTACTTATACCATTATTCTTCAGGAAGAAATTTTACGCCAAGTGACATGACCTCAAACCTGACTTCCGATCTTCTTTTATCAATATCTCCTGGAATTCCAGAGAGGAGACGGCGACCAAATTCCCATGTGTAGGCAATAGTTTGTGGATAACAAAGGTGGATGATTAGATGAGCAAGCACTTCATATGAAAAAGAAAAAAAATTGAAATTGAAAAATGCCCAAAGTGATTCACTAATTATGGGACAACCTAATAGATTTCGAAACTACAGCAAGGGAAAACCATATTCCAACGAGGAATTGTTAACAACGTTTACTTGAAACAGCGCTCACGAACTTGATAATTTCCTTCAAGTGGGCCCTAGAAAATAAGATCCCTGATGCATGACATCCTTCAGTGTTTTACCTAATGCTTTTTGAAGAGCAGCTTATAGTGATACGTTCGAATTGTATTGTTTTGTGCAGTTCTTCTGTTTAATTTCGGACCACATGTGAAATAGTCACTACATTCATTTCATAGGACCTCGTTCCTCAATCGTCCGGGAAGTCAAGAAACGGTCATGGCATCACCCTCCCACAAAATTCGGTCTGTGGGTTGGCGCTTCGTCTCCCTCTCCTCGTCTCCTTCTTCCTCGGTCGAACCGTTCTAGATAGTCCAGTTGTCGAAATCCTTGATTGAAATTCTATCTCAGGCTTGGATTAGGCTTTTATACTTTGTCTGCGAAAGCCAACGGAAATGCAGAAGTGGCGATTACCCAAGTCTATTTATCGCTGAGCTAGGATTATAGATGTGATTGACTTTTTCCTGGCCTGCCAGTTTTCGTCCGACCGAGTGATTAATGGGGAGTTTTAATTGAAGGGAAGACCCCGCATCAATGAAAGGTTTCCAACGAGTTTCTATCGGTCTTCGAATAGTTCTATCTTTTCGAATCTGCAACTGTTTCCCGGAGTCTTGTTGTTTGCGTTGGAAACGCTTTCTGACAATATTCACGATCACCCTTGAGTTTATGCAGACGCTCACTTTTACGATAAGACTTAGGCCGGCCTCCAGAGTGTTAGCCAGAGTCAACCCTGCGTTGCGCAGTTCGCAACGGCACGTTGAGAGATCCTCAACGCACGCTGTATGGGCGGAGACGCAGACGGCTCGAGCATGCGAGTGTGAATGTTCGCGCGAGAGAACGTGTCTAATCGGGCGAAACTGCGCAACGTGGCCGTTGAGAACTGCGCAACGCAGGGTTGACTCTGCTCAGGCCGATGCACTTCAAATAGCCAGATCTATACGAAGTTATTAGAAAGGTTGTGAAAATTGAAATCTAGTTCGTTTCACATGAAGTGGAGTCATTTACCTAATAAAGTCATTGAACCAGGAATTTATAAGCAAAAATATGGCGAAACTGATGATCCATTCAAGGGCTTTGCTGATCGCTGTGTAAGAGCATGTCTTGAACTTCAATCTTGTCACCATATGCCCACCACTACTTGCATTCAAAGTCGTACTGGCATTTGGAAATGCCGCTTGCTTGTGCAAATCTGCTGGATAGCCAGGTTAATGGAACTCGACGTGTTTATGGACTCTACGCAGTAGTCTGGCCAATAATCAACGGGTCGTACTGATGGATAAGTAATCGATCCGATTAAAGTTCACCCCAAACTGTTGCGTTAGAATAAGCGGCAGGTTAGGATTTTCAGACGTTTGTTGATAGCGAAGTCTAGTGCACAAGTGGAAACTATTCTATTCATACTCTGACAACAACCGTCGCTAGTCAAGGCCAGCACGTCCTGGATGAGGGAATAAAATAAAAGATCATACTGAGAGTCACGCTTAGCGTTAACTGAAAGCTTTACTTTTTGAGCTCCACACTTTATTAGCTAGCAAAAATTTGTAATCTGTTACATGATACTTAATTGCGTAATTCACCCCGTATTGCCTCAAAAATATTCAATCGAGCGGGGGCATAGTGTAGTGAGAAGAGGGTTCACTATCGCGCGCATGATCCCTCGATCGAATCCCATGACAAATTCAGCGTGTATCGGCCAAATTTTATAGATGCTAGGAACGATACTTACTACGCAGAACAGATCGGTAACTTAAATTCGAAAAAGGCTCGTAGTTTAGTGGGTCAAAGCAGCCAGTAGATAGAAGCATGTTTGGAGCGCGATGAGCGAATTCGGCTACAGGAACAAGTGGCCGGCGCTCCAACTTATTGGAGGAGCAATGCAGAGAGTGTGGAAGGGGCAACATTTCTTCGAGCGAAAAGAGCAACAATTTACACATTATTCGTAGCTTTGACAACGCTATCCAGCGAATTGCCCGAATGATGAGGTCGTGAATGATGTAGATTGTGCTCAGACATTGAGGATGGAGAAGAGGAGCGGGTAGGTTGGAATGACGGGAATCACGGAAACAAGGAAGCCAACCACATGTCTGGACATCATGTGGAACATTTTCATAGATGACTGCTCCTGAATACACCTGGGCGGCTCGCCTTTTCCTACGGCGGAATAGTGAGTGGGTGGCATACAAAGTATGAGGAAACCTGTACAGATCTTCAAGGTCATGGCTTGCCTATTTTTCTCAAAGCTTTGAAGACTTTACTGTCAACAAAATAACACCTGTTTTTCCCTGCAAAGCATTTATTCAATTTTTTGATTTCTCAGAGTTTTTCAAAGGATCGCTTTCGAGT